TTGTTCATCCATTTTATATGGACGCCCCCACGGATCCGCGTCCAGCGAGAGGAGGAGGGTGTCCCACCCTTTACCTCTGGCTGCCCCAATCGCGTCCCTCAGGGATGCCGCCGCGAGGCAAAACTCCCTTCGGGCAGCCAGAACAGCCTCGGGGTCCGAGTGAGGGTCGTTGCGTACCCTTCTAAAGGCCCGCCTGAGGTGGACCGACTTGTGCCTGAGATCGGCTATGGCGTCGGTCCACCACCAGGCGGACCTTTTGGGGCAGGACCTGACTCTGGGCATGGCTTCGTCACACGCATGTGCGATGACTTCCATAATTTCCATAACCTCAGAAACAAGGTCCCGCCCCTCCTTCTGCCGTGGCCAGGTGGCAGCCTCCAGGGAGATATCTAGGGCCTCCCTGTCCAGCTGGTTCAGGGACCATCTCCCTGGTCGGGGTTGCTTCCGTGGTTGTCCGGACCGCAGGCCCTCGGAGGTGACGGACAGCTCCAACTCTATCAAGAGATGATCCGAGAGAGCTTCGAGCTCGTCCGCCACCCTCCAACTCCGCACCCGCTTCAGGGCCGCAGGGGAAGCCCAAGTGAGGTCGATGATCGATTCCCCCCGCGACCCTACGAACGTTGACTCTCTTCCCTCGTTCAGCAGGTGCAGATCAAGGCCCGCGGCCCAATCTTCCACCTCCTCCCCCCTCCTGTCACCATCCCGGGATCCCCACAACTCCGACTTCGCATTGAAGTCCCCGGCGATGATGACAGGTTCAGGGAGGTGCCGTCTGACGGTCCTCCCCATATCTCGGAGCCTGGACTTGAAGCTGGGAAAGTCCAGGCTCTTTGTTGGGGGGAGGTATACCCCGACCACAGTCAGGACCCCCCACCTGGCCACGACATATCCCTCTCCGCTACCCACGTAGGTAGCGGGAGGAGAATTACCGCCTGCCTTCCAAATAATTGCGACGGAGCCCAGGTTGTCCCCAAACCATCTTGGACGGTTTCTGGGGACTTTGTAGGGCTCCGCCACAATTCCCAGTCCTGCACCGCGCTCGGTCATGGTATGCTCAAATAACGGCAGTGTCTGCCGAGCGCGGTGCAGATTCGATTGGAGGAGCCGTGTGTCCATTACAGTTGGATTAGTAACTTCTCCACAGGCCCCTCCTCTTCCTCACTCCCACTTCTTCTTGCGGGTCGCTGTCTTTTCTCTCCCCTTCTTTCAATGTCCATGTCCTCCCCCTTATCCTGCGGTTCATCTACCGGGGTAGCTGGACCCAAGGATTCTACAGGTGGGGAGGGCTCTCGCTCCTTGTCCCCGCTTCCGTCCGTTATTTCCTTAGAGGGAGAAGGGGGGGCGGGTGGCATCGGTGCGATTGCCTCCGCTTCCTGCCCCTCATCCCTCTTCTTATTCCTCCTCTTGTTGGGGGGGGCGACACGCCGGTCCCCCCATTCGGTGACCTGCTGGTTTTCCCGCCACCGCACATACGGCACATCTTGCCGCTTTTACACAATTGCAGGCCAGATGATCCGTTTCCCCACATCTGTAGCAGATATTTCTCCTGTCTACCTTATTGCTGCAGTTCTGTTGCACATGTCCTCTTTCGAGGCATCTGTAGCACTGCAGGGGCCTTGTTTCCAGAAGCTCCGCTTTTACCTGTGTCCAACCCAGAGACAGCGTCCCTTTCTCCGCCACTTTTTTGGCTGCTGCAAGTGGGCACCTCATCCATAGTGACCTATATCCTGATGGTGTGGTCCTTATTACTCCCGTTTGGACTTGCTCCACTTTGCAGCAGCCATTTCGAGTAAGCGGCGTAACTGAGGAAACTAAAGCTCCCGCACATAGAATTTTGCACCGGCGGCGAGCGTTCGGATCCCACCGACGACTGCTTCACTTCATGGTTTTTTTTATTTTTTTCTTTAATTTTCGACATATAGTAATACGTTATTAATAATTATTTATTTATTTTTTAATTTTTTCGTTTTTATATAAAAAATAAGGACATTTCGGGATATTTGAACGCAATATGAAATAAAAAATATATAAATCGTATGAACTGATTATATATTTTTCAAGCAACGTATAAATTTTATACATGTGAAAATCAAATACAAACTTTATAAATGTCTACATATTATAAAATGTTTCGCTAAAAATAACAAGCATCGAACTATTGGTATGTGTCCTGCCGATGTTACATTCAAGATCGCTGATAAGCTCCTACCCACAACGTAAAGATCGCAGCGCCTGCGAGATTCAAAATGGGCGACTCGGTACACGTGAGCAAACTATCTTCGAGAAAGGTTACATTCCGAATAGGACCACCGAAGTGTTCAAGATCATCAACGTACAAGCAACCAATCCAGCGACCTATCTGCTTGAGGATTCTCGCGGAAAGCTTATTGCCGGAGGATTTTACGAATACGAACTGCATCGCGCTGCTAATCCTGACGTTTATCTCGTGGAAAAGGTGTTGCGAAAAAGCGGCAACAAGATTTTAGTGAAATGGCTGGGATTTGACAACTCACACAACTCTTGGATACACAAAGAAAATGTATTGTAACCAATTCTTTATTATAAACATTTTTTATTACAATATCCTATTATAAACAGCTTGAAATAACTCATCTTTTTTATTATAGTTAACAATATTTTTTACAAACAAATATATGTACAATTATCGTTTTTTTTATTTTACAACGGTATCCTGTAATGCCCCCATGGTAAAGTGTCTGTTGAGTCTGGTACGATATACCACCTTGTCATCATACCTTGTCATCACACGGACCCAGAGCAATTTTTAGTTCGGACACGGTGTAGACTTTGTACATTTTGGATCGTATGCATGACTGACGACGTCGCTTTTCGACCTCGCCCTTCAGACACTACATATTATAATCATCGAACGTTATAGTTCGCGCTACGACGTTGGTCTTGACGCCTTTCGCCTTTTCGTGTCCTTTTTGCTGTCTACCTTCAGCGCGTACATCTTTGCTCTGAATCCGACGAATTCCGTCATAATCGCTCCGTTATTTTCATCTTTCATCAGACCCGGTACCTTCTTGTTGGCAAGCGGTATACCGTACACGTTATCAGCGGGATAATCACTCGTATCAAATTTAAAAATATTGCGTTTCATGTGCTTGAAAATATCATCGCATTGGATATGGTAGATCAAACCGTCAGTATCGGTGTACATTACTTTACATCTGTTTTGACACAGGGGAGACATGTACTCGTGATGAAATTCGTACAAGCAGGTCTTGGATATGTCAAGGATACACATACCCACATAGATCGGCTTGTCGAATTTCACCTCGAGTTTACGCAGCTCAATGGCGATTAAATTTTCCGGAAAGACATTTCTGCTGTGAAAATTTGATTTCGCGATCATGGCCTCGGCACCGTATCGTCCGTCCCATTTTGTCAACAGTTTTACGTCTACGTGATTGCGAACGTTTCCCATGATTTTGACGAATATTACATTGTTCATAAATTTGTATAAATTTTTCTCGAAATCGTTTGTCGCGCGTGTTCTAAACTGCGTGTTAAGTTCGATATAATCGCGGAGCCATGGGGATTGAGCAAATTTGAGTACGTGATGTATCTTTCCAATACGAAGAGACCGTGGCGCATGCACTGCTGCAGGTTGCGATAATGAATCACGTAACACTGCTTATATCATAAGGTTGCGAGAAGCTTGTCCTGCCTTTTTTTCGGCGGTTTGTCATGCGTTGGACAGAACGGTAGGTCAGTGTGCGCATCGTGCAGACGTTGCGGATACTCCAAGTCGACCTCCAGAATGTAACCTATGGGTGAATCTAGCGCGATTGATTATACGTCGAAATTCGATACATCATCAACCCATCGAAATTCGGCGTATGGCAACTGTTGACACATTGCCCAACCACAAGTACAAGTTACTTACATCGAAGTATATCAAGTATGATGATGTCTGCAATGGATCGTAAGACTGCATGTACTTGTTATTGGCCTTTGCGTATCTACCGGAACATTGACTGAGACCGCCATGAATACCGCGCTCGATGAACATGACCATGTCGATATCAGTGAGCAATTCGAAATTAACGCCCGTGTGCTTCAACATAGCATCCCACGTAAAACCGGGCAAAATGTAATAATACGCGGGATTTAACCTGTAACTTTTGATACAACTATTGCGGAAATTTTCAAAAATATCGGCCAGTAACAAGACATCAGTCTTCAGATACAAGTCGCTATATTCGCCCAAGGTTTGAATGGAGAACCGCCGCTAGATGTTCGCGGCGTGCGCGTAATCGCTCTCGGATACCGTGTCACCCGTCAACGAACTGTCAAATGACTCGCGCGGTGATAAACACTGATCCTGTAGCTTGTCCACGCAATCAAGGTATTCGTACGGAAAAACACCCTTTCGCGTTAATAAATCAAAATCCTTGTCGGACAAATTTGAAAATTCGGACAGAACAATTTTTAATTTGTCTTTGTCGAGAAAAGACGCCAATTTATCGAGGCTAGTACAGAGAAATTTGTACGAATCGATGAACCGCAATTGCAAACAATTTATCCATTTATTCCTACTATCCGTCATGTTTCCTACAGTCTTTGTAAACGGAATATATTTCTCTTTGGTTATCGGTAGTACAGTGATTGAACCTTCGAACATGGTTGCTATATCTTTGATGATGAAGTGTGAATCATAACCGGATAAGTTGTGAAAGGCCACAGGAATGCAATAACTATCTTGGTAATTTAAATTGCAATTGGAATATGCGGGACCTCTGTACTGTCCAGTCAGGTGGCAATGATCGCGTAAGCGTGCATCATCCTCCGCGAATGATTTCTCGCACACATGACACAGCGTAGCGTTCCGAAATATCTCCCACTGTTCTATCGACAAAATTTACATGGGGACATTTGCGGACAAAATACCCTTTACGCGATGTGCCTATTCTCCGAGTTTTTTGACGAACCACGAGATGTAATCCGGATCGCGGCGACATCGATATGCGGATAACGATTCGTCGTAGGAACATCACACGTAATACGCTATACTATAAATATGCTATGACGTTGATACGCATACGAACTCGTTTGTTCTTCCCTCGGTGTCTTCTCCAGGGTGCATTCCAAGTCGGCGTAAACTACAAACGGGACCCGCTCCTTTCTGCAGTAGTTGGTGAAGCTGAGCCATTTGTTGTCATCGTTTGGCAGGATGATCGTTTGGCGCAGTCATTCATTTTTTGGTAATCGACAGTGCGGCTCTCCAGCTTCTCGCTCGAGCTGAAGTAATGCAAAAATCTGGAAAAAAACATTATTTGTTATTGGTATATGTCATTATTCATTATACATTGCGTTCTTAGTGTATACTTACCGGTCGCAAATATGTTTCTTGTGTGACTTTTTGCTCAGCTGCGAGCTGACGAGTCGGGACAAATTCTTGATCCGCGCGAAGTTGTCATCTCGCGTATCTGAGATATGCAGCAGGTTGACGTGGTTCTCTCATTTTCACATTCCATGAAACATATGGGCACGACCACGTTTCCTTCTTTCTCTGTCGCGTCGTCATATCTCTTCTCCGCACTATGAATATTAATCGAGATATCATTCAACCGTTCAAATTTTTTAATTTGATTTATGCGCATTGGAAATTCAATGTCCTGCATATTCAACACCGATATGTAGTATGGGTACGAAGATTGACGATCTGCGTTTTTGTCAGCTGGACATAACGCAACAATCACCGCCCACGTGAAACATGCATTGTCCATAAATTGCACATTGATTACAGCCAACTCCATTTTTATTTCACGCAGTAACTCGATGTGACATCCCACACACATCGGTTTGTACTTGTTAACGTTAACGGTCAGTTCGAGTATGCGCGAGAGTGGCTACCCGCTATCTCGTTCCTGGAATTCTTCCAAGGACGCTAAGGTGGGCTCGATAACACATCGCGAACCAATTGTCCAGATTGGATGTGGGAAAAAGTTCAAAGTTCCTCGTATTGATGCTCTTACTCCCGCGTTTATCACCCGCCACAAATTTACCGTTGAACACAGTGTTCAGTTTTACGCTATTTTGTCTCTTCGTAATAACGCTTCGCACATGCTCGAGCACAGTATTCTTCGCATCTTGGAGAAATCGACGAGGTTCGATATAGTCTGTATTTACAATCGCTCCGGTTGATACGCGACTATCGAACGCTGTATCGATTTCTCGCCAAAAAAGTTCCGAATGTCCGGCTCCTGCGTATACGAAGTGTCTGCGCAAAGTACTTTTTAAACCCTCGAGTTACGCTATACGAGCAACCATCGAGTGCGCTGAACCAACCGATAGTCGCGGGTGTTTGGCTCGGCTATGCTGTTCCAACGACTCGAGGCACTCGTCCGCACTTTTGTTCCCACGCGAGATATTCGTCTCGCGGACCTAATCGACCGGACTGATCCCACAGTTTGCGTTCTACGGATGATGATTCTGCCATTTCTTTCAGCGAACGTTGTCAACACATACTATAACCGTGCATTCTGTTCGTCTTCGACTAAACTATAGAATATTCTGCTTTGAACTTTTATAGCCCTTCCTTCATCCAAAAACATACACACACACACATCGTTATCAAAATTCGGGAAACTTCCTCGACGATCTCATCGACACACCTTTTAAACACATTTCAGGGTCTTAAACTCGTATCGCCCCGTTGTGGACCCTGTATGTCTAAGTATCAGTCTAAGCATATCTTTCTTTATCTGATACAATAATAGGCTTGTAGACCTACGATCAGCAGATTTGGTATCAGTAGTCTGGTGTCGACGGCTGACAAAATCGTTTTTCGTAAAAAATTTGATATTGTAATATGCAGCGCCATTATATTGCAGCGTTTAAAATTGTAAATAAAAAGTATAAATATTATATATTTCTGTACTGCACATTATTTTCTCTCGTTATGCGCTATGGTTAATATTATTTCATCGATGTATGTATGACTATTTAATTGATTGGCTACAACGTTGTGCCAGAGAATTATTATCTAGTTTCGGAAAATATATTGATAGGTGTTAGAGATAGGTATCAT